GAGGCCAGCCCCGGGGCGCGTCTCGGGGCGCGGCCCAGGCGGGCGGCGGCGGCGGCGGCGGGCCCGGGAGCCCCCGGCGCGCGAAGTGGTCCGTCCCGGAGGGGCCCCGCGCCCCCGGCCCGCCCCCGCCGCTCTCTCCCACCACACCTCGGCCGGCGCAGCGCCCCGAGTAGATTACAGCGCGGCCTTTGTCGGGCGGGCCTGGCTCCCGGCCAGGCGCCCAAACAATAAACAATCCCCCGGGTGCGGGCAGGGGGTTTCGCCGGCCGCAGCCGGGCTCTAGGTGTGCGCTGGCGAATATCTCTATCAACCGCGAGGAGGGACCGGGCCGGGGGCGCGGGCGCCGCGGCGGGCGCTCTTACCTTCCACCCACAGCTCCTCCACGTTGGTCTCGAGGTTCGCTGCCTTTAATCCCACCGCGAAGGCCCCAAATATGAGGAGGCCCACAACCAAGAACTTGCCGCAGTTTTTTTGAATGTAACAACCCAGTTTAAATAAGAGTCTCTGAAACTTCGCTCTCAGCCACAGCGGCGCTTTCCGGCCAGTAGCCTTCCCCTGGGGACGAAGCAGAAGGGAGGAGTGAGCGCCGGGGAGTCGCGGCCCGCGCGCCCACGCCCGCTCGCGCGCACCCGCCCGGTGAGCCCCCAGCAGCCGTGGGGGCGCGGGTGGCCGCGGCACACGGACTCGCCCTCGAGGCTGCAGCCCTGGCGGACCTGAGCGTCATGGGGGGGGGGGGGGCGGGCTCGGTCATAAATCAAATCCGGGCCGCAGCGTGGGAGCTGCACCTCGGGGACATCAGGGCGCCCCCACCCGCGGGATCCCTGAGTACGACCTGGGGCACTGGGGCTGCAATACAGGAGAAGAGGAAGCCGAGGTAGAGAGGAGAGAAACCACTAGACACAGGCAATATTCACCCCAGACCTGAGAAGGGAGGGGCTGCGTAATCCCAGCGATGGAACCCAAGGTTCAGGAGCCAGCAAACCAGTCCTGCTCCGTCCATCACCCTCGGGGACGGGCGCTAGGGGCGAGCGCGCTTGGGAACAACATATTGCGGGTTCCCCCAACTGGACCCCCGCCTAGAGTGGTAGTAAGTGGGGATCCACGTGGTGAGCGCGGCCGCCGGAGTTCACTCCCGACGCTTTTCCACAGCGTTGGAAGAGGCTGTGTGAGCTGAATTAGGAAGTGGGGCAGCCATCTGCAACTTACGACAATATTTGTGATCGGAAGAGGGCGGCCACATGGATCTTTCCCTCCTCTCCCTTCCTTTCTGGTTAAACGTAAAAAACAGCCGAGTGCACAGGGAAGGGCCCAGGCCGGCGCAGGCTGCTCCCCGGCGCGGCGTTTCCCCGGCGCTGGCCGCGGCCCCGGCGGGCCCCCGTCTGGGTGCTCGCCTTCCCCGGATTCCACACATTTCAGCGAGCCTCGTAAACACAATGAACCCGGCCGCTCCGCAGACTCGCACCGCGAATTTAAGGTGGCAATTTGTTTACAACTTTCCCTCCCCCTACCAGGCCCTGAGGAGAGGCGGCTCAAAACCTGGAAAACACGGGGAATGTCTTTTTCCGAGAATAATTTTTTAAGGGAGCAGAGATTTCATGCTCAACAAAAGCAAAACCGGCTGCCAAAAAAGGAAACCACCTTTATTTCGGCTCCCTCCCCCCTTCCTCTCTCCGCCTCTCTCCACTCCGCCTCCCCCTCCAAGATGTTAAGAAATGTGGCAGCATTACAGGGGTTTAGGCTGCAAATAGGAGCAGGGGCGCAGGAGGAGGGAGTTCCAGGGCAGGGGGCACGGGGCAGGGCAGTACCACGGCCGCCTTTGAGGTGGTCCGCCGTGGACGGCTTTCCAGTGCTCCGGAAAAGGCACGCCGGGGAGGGTGTGTGTACACACACACACACACACACACACAAGCACACACCTCCACCCCCTGCGGACCTGAGACAGCCCTTTCCTCCCAGGACTAGAGGGAGGGTTTGAATTTTTCAATCCCCACTTGTCTGCTGCTTTTCCTGGAGAGGTGTGAGAGTGTGTGTGTGTGTGTGTGTGAGAGAGAGTGTGTGTGTTTGTGTGTGTGTGTGTGGCGGGGGCGATCCCAAAGAGTTAGAGGAGGGAAGAGAAAGTGGGAGGAGAGGAGAGAGTCTGAAATGCACCTTGGAAATCTGCTCCAGAGCGAAGGCGGCGTCGCAGTAGCTGGGCCGGTGCAGATAGTCCCGGTCCGGCGCGGCACCACGGCGCAGCCCCCCCGTCCGTCTGCGCCTCCCACCTCCAGCCGGCCGGCCCGGGGCACCGATGCAGCCGCTGCCGCCGCCGCCGCCGCCGCGGTCCTGGGGCTCGGCGACGTTACCAGCCGAGGCCATGTTGCCGCCGCCGCCGCCGCCGCCGCCGCCGCGGGGACGGAGGCTTCCCGGGCGGCCCGGCGCGCTGCTGCCGCTGCTGCGGGCTCCTGGCGCGCCTGGGCGCTCGGCTCGCGAGGACGCTGCTGGCCGCAGGCTGCTCGGGCTCGGGCTCCGGTTGACAGACCAGCCGCTGCTGCTGCTCACACGGCGGGCGCTGCTGCCGCTGCGGCCGCGGCCGCTGCCGGGGAGTCAGACCCTGCGCCTTCCATTGCCACATTGCGCGGGGGTCCCGAGGTCTCTGCGGCCGCCGCTGCCCACATCCAGTTCGCGGGAGGGCGAGAGCCGGCGCGCCGAGCGAGCCTGTCCTTCGGGCGCTTCCGCGGCACTCCTTGCGGTCCCCAACACCCCCTACCCGCCCCCCGCCCCGCGCCGCGACCCCTTCACTGCAGAAAGAGCCAGCGAATCCCCGTAGCTCCCGCCGGCCGCGCTGCCTCCCTCGGCGCCTCCCGGGTCGCCCGAGCGGCCGCGGAGGGCAAGCGCAGAGCCGCCGCCGCCGCGGGGTCCGAGGGTGCCCGGCGGGTCTCAGCGCTGCCGGGCCGGGGCAGCCGCCGCTGCCGCTGCTCCCGCGGTGGCTGCTGCTGGCGGTGGCGGATCCAGGAGCTGCTGCTCGGGCTGCTCGGGCTCTGGCTGCTGGGTTCGCGGTGGCTGCTCGGTCCCGGACTCTGCTTTCTTGTGCTCCTCGGCAACCCGCTGGACCATTCTGTCCCCGTGCAGCGCGCCTCTCTCGCTCCCGGGACCTGGGGACTCCGCTCTGTGTGTGTGCAGCGGGCAGCGGCCGCAGCAGCTCCTTGATTCAATAGATGAGATGGAAGAAGAAAAAAAAGAACTCTCTCCATTTGGAGAAAGAAGAGGAGGAGGGGAGGGGGTGGAGGGGGAGAGAGCGAGCGAAAGAGAAAAAGGCTGGAGCTCCCGCCCCCGGGGCTGTCAGATGGCTTGGGTTTCTGCGACGCGATTGGCTCGCGGAGGGCAGAAATTACTCAGCAAACATGACTATTATTAGCTGCTTAGCAACAGCTCACCAAAGTAGAGAGACCACCCAGGTAGGCAACCCAGTGTGTGCATCCCCGGCTTCGGGGCAGCCTCTGAGAGCGCCAACCTTCTCGCATGCAATACTTCCATTAAGGAATGCTCCCCCTCCTTTCTCTCTTATTCCTTTTCTTTTCAACAGTGTCTTCTTTTTTGTGGGATGCCCTTTGCGCGCACACACGCGCGCGCACGCACACACACGAACATTTGCCTCGCGGTAGACACGGGGGGAAATGTAATATTTTTTTAAGCGCTTAAACAATTTCTGAAATTCCTCAAAGAAAAGCCTTTCAGAGGCACCTTGGCCTCAAGCTGCAGCAAATACTGGGAGGTCCGGCTCGCATTCCCAGGCCTGCACCAATAATGACAGCGTGCTGGATAGTGCGCCAGTGTGTGCCAGATTTTTTTTTCCTCCTCTCTTTTCTTTTATAACTAAAGGGAAGACTTAGGCTCTTGCAGGGAACAACGCCTCGCATTAAGATAAACAGAATGGAAAGTTAAAGAGGAAAGCAAAGACGTTGGGAAAAGCCACCCTTTCTTCAAATCCGTCTGCCCTCCCCCCGCCGCTTTCTCCCCCAACTTAAAAAAAAAAAAACCGACAGTACAGTCTTGGTTTGAAGGAGTCAGTGTTCTATAAACGTGGAATCCAGACACCGAAGCAGTCTTGTAGAGGCAGAGGCGTTTTTATTTGAATCTCGAATGTGACATAAGTAAAAGAGAAACAACAGAATCCTTTTTTACAACTCAGAGAAACGTAATTGCTTCCTTGAGAGAGTAAAGTTTTCCTGATTATTTTGGGTTCATTTGTACCCCCCTTTTTATTAACCAGATGTTTATACAATAAGTTTTTTACAAAACCCGGTATGCATGTTATATTTAATAATAGTATGACGTTGGAGATTATAAATGCCCCGATGTTGGATTCATTCAAAACAAACTGTGCGCGGATCGCGAGGGTTTGTCCCGACACCGCGTCCAGTGTCACCAAGACATCCCGGGGATTCGCTTCCCGCGGAGGAGGAAAACACGCGACCCTTTGAGGTGGATCCTGGAGTCAGACACGTCTACACAACTAGGCTTTTTATTTTAAAAAAATTTTGTTTTCGGAAAGTGGAATGTGTTTTTCTCACGTTTGCAAGTTACTACGTTCCTCCCTGCGGTAGAAGCCCCCGCAAACCCTTCATTTGCTTCACTTTCTTTTTAAAAAAAAAAAAACGGGGTTGAACTGCAGAAGGACCCGCAGTAGCAAGAAGCCTAGTGAAGTCGTGAAATGGGGCGGTGTGGCTTTAAGATGCACACGGTGTGTGTTCATTGAAAAAAAAAGAAGAAAGAAAGGAAAGGAAAGGAAAGAAAGAAACCCAGATGGAGGGAAAGGGGGAGGAGCAGGGAGAAGGCGGAGCTCCGGTGGCCACGTGACCCCGCGCCGGGAGGCCTTGTGTGCGCGCGCACGTGTGCCCGGGTGCGGGTGCGCGCGCGCGCGCCCGGCTCCGGGACTCCCCGCGCCCGCGCGGCCGGGGCAGAGCAGGTAGGGAGGCGGGTGCGCCGGGCGGGCTCCGGGCCTCCAGCGCGGCCTCCCGGGAGCCTAGGCGAGGCGCGCGCCCAGCCGGCGCGGACGGACGTGCCGGACGCGCCGTAGTACATTCCTGAAGGCGGACCGGCCCCCTTACGCTGCCCAATGCCCGCGCCGCCTCCCCGCGGCCGGCCAATGGTCGCGCTCTCGAGTCCCTGCCCATTCGGCGGCCCCGCGCTGGCGGCCCGGGCGCGCTGGGGGCTGCGGCGGGGCGCGCCGGCCACCGGGGCGGTCTATGCGGCTCCCGCAGGGGGCCCGTCCGCCGGCTCTCCCCGCCTCCTTCCTTCCTCCCCCGCGGTTTCCCCTCCCCGCTTCCTTCCCCCGGCCTGCGCCTTCTCCTTCCTCCCTCGCCCCGCTCCCTCCCCCACCAGCCCGGCCACCTTCCCTCCAGCCTCTCCTCGGCTTCAGGGGGAAGCCCTGCCCCCGACCCCCTAACCCGCAAACCGAGTGCGGTACCGGGGGCAGGGCGGGACGTCCCGAGGAAGAGAGGGAGACGGGGTGGAGGTGTCTGGGGGCGTTCGCGGGATCCGGAGGGGGACCTGAGCACCGGGCCAGCGCGGAAATTCAAAACTCAGACCGCTTAAGGAGCACGTGATTTTGTGAGTGGCTCAGGGAAGGGCTGCGGAAACTCGGAAGGCAGGCGGGCAGCGTGCGACGAAAGTGACACTGCGTTGGTAAAGAGCGCAGACGGCTCCACACATTTCCAGTTTCATCTTTGAGTACGATCCTGATGTTTATTAGGTTTGATAAATAGCACAAAACAGGAAAAGAGGTTTACTAGTCTAGCTTTTCTTACTGAACGGTTATGCAGACACTTCAAGTCGAACCACTGTGTGCTTGCTTCTGGAAACTGCTTTTTAAAAACTGGGGGAGGGGGGTAGTACCCCTAGTTTTGCATGTCAGCCTTTTTATATTTCAAGCTTGCTGGAGGGCAAGGAATCATGTAGCCATAGACTCGTTGCTATGTTTGTCTTTTCAAACTTTTCCACCACGTTTTGGCCCAAAACTATTAGTGTTTCGTCTCAATCTTTTACTAGAGGGATTTCGGTATAGCTGCTTGGATGAAGGAATTCTGGAAGGAAATGGTAAGCAGTGTGCCGGTAATGGATCCGCCTCACTCTCCGCACGCGGCTGCATGTCCTCTGGTTCCCGCGGCTGCCACATGCACGTCATTTCAGTGGCAAAGCCTTTTCCACTCAGGCCCACATCCCTTAGTTTGCCTTAATTCCTAAACGTTTTGAACATTGATCCCCGGAGCTTTCAGTGCCCCGAGCCCACTCGCCCGCTGTTTGATGGGTTAACTTTTCAGCATCTCAGACAATGGTCCCGGCCTGTAAATTCTCCCCGTGGGTTCCAGGACGCACTCCGGAGCCTCGGCTCTAACGAGCGCTATCTTAATCTCCCCACCCCCCACCCGCCGCTTCCCCTGTGGTCTGCTTTTTTCATACTCAGAGATGAATTACTTTGAGGATCTAATTGGCCTTGTTTCTGTAACGTTTTAAGAAAGGGAAGAGGAGCCAGTGTAAAAGCCTGCTCGACTTGGGTGGTCAGGGCTGAGGCTGCCCCCAATTTGCCTCATTGCTGATGCATGCGAGTGCGACATTCCCAGCGATAATGTTGTTCCTAATCAATCTGCCCTTATTTACATTTGTAAGCATTGTTGGCTTTAATATGCATGCCCTGTGCAGGGGACTGCTGTGCCACACCGGGTTTGTTAACTTCAACTAACCACAAGGATTCCACAGACCTGAGATGAGGCTGACTGGGGCAGCCAGACCTGCTAAGGTGTCCTCCGGGAAGACAGCCCTTTAAATGGCCCTTCTGCCTCGTGGCACCCCTTGTGACAGTTACCAAGTAAGTGAGAACTTAGGGCCTTATCAGCCAGCAGGAGTTGCCAGCCTCTGTGAAGCAAGAGCTGAGTGTTCCATTTCCCCTTTCCAGGTAAAGTTCATCTCAATGCATAAATTGTCATTTTGGTCTCCCAGTCATGATCCAAGACTTTTCATTGCAGTGTGTAGTTTTCAAAGCAGATGCTTTAAGCTCTCTGGATTCCCTCACATCTCCCCACTTCTCTGTTCCAATACTACAAATATCCATGGCCACGCCACACACATTTCAAAAGTGACATCAGATTATCCAAATGATGACAATGAAATAAAACATCTGCCCTTTGTGTTGGGATGTTCCAATGGTAAGCAATTGTGGGAGGCAGACTTGGTGGAGTTATGAAAAACCACAGTGAGATTTTAACTTTTCACTGGTTTCTCAGATCAAACCAAATGAGTCTTTAAAATTCAATGTAATTTGGCTAACTTTTGCAGAGTATAAATGTATTCCAGTAATTTCACCCTGGGGCCATTTATAATTTTGCCTACTGAGTTTAATACTCTCTTCCAGAAATACAAGGAATTGCAAACATGATTTTAAGTCCTTCAGTATTCTTGTTGAGAGGGTGGGATGGACAGAGGCATTGGGGATTTGATGCAATATTCTTTTACTGCATAGGGAGCCCAGGATACAGGATGTGAGTGATGGTCAAGGCAGGGCTTCAGAAGTTCCAAGCAGGTACCTTGAATACGAGTTGAGTCGACTCAATTCAAGCCAATGTACCACTATCCACCACATTTTCTTGGCTCCCTAAGAATGCCGTATTATTTTCTCATTGGCAGCTTTTGTATATTCTTAAAAGGTGATGGTACAAAATGAGTCTAAAAGGTTTCAGGGAAGTCGGGGGCGGGGTGGGGGGAGATTCAGCAGCTACAAAATGTGAAACTACTGGGCTTGACTCCCCTCCCCTACTCCCTTCCACCTTCTGTTTCCTCCCCTTATTTACCCCCTCCCCAGGCTGGAGGAAAGGGAACAGCTCTAGCCAACTTGTCAAAATAATGCTGCTAATTACCCCTGATCTCCTTTAATGGGAAGCTGCTCCTAACTCCACAAAAGAGTAAATGAGGGGTCTACAGCACAAACCCGGGAGCACTGGCATTTTTTGAGCTTACAGTGAGCTGGGGGTGGGGAACGCGGCAGAGGGGAGTGTCCTGAGAAGGTCCCAGAAATCTCCACATTGATTACTCCAGGTTTAAATGCTAGCTTGAAAGGGGAATTAGACTTTATGTATTGCCAAAAGCTATTGGTATTCTCTTGCTAAGCATGTCACCAACTGCTGAGAGAATGTTCAGAGCCTACTATGAACTTGAAAGAAAACAGAGCGTTGACCCCTGCATTGATCCCCCTTTCTCCAAATATATTCTTACCCACATTGCTTTCCTCTAATGGATAGAGATGTATTCCTGAAACACCCAGACTTTGAACATGTTTTGCATCCTTCCCTCGCCTCGCCTCTATCTCCCTGTCTAATATATCTCTATCAAGCTTTGCGTTTGCTAGGAGGCACACCATTCATTTCAGTGATCTCTGCCATTGGGTCCTGCATGAAAAAGAAGCTGAGCAACATGATCCCTTTGACCCACTGCTGGAGCAACAAATTTATTAGAAATATAGGCATGAGAAATGAAAGGGAAGTAAAACAATTCCAGCTTATTGTGTGTCCTTCTTTCATACTGCTAATCCGGTTTACACATCACGCCTACACGTCTCAATAGGGCATTATACACTGTGGCAGAGGCTGGAGAAAATAAAAGGTGTGTGTGTGAGAGAGAGAGAGAAAGAGAGAGAGAGAGGAATGAAGATAAAAACAGGAGACATATTTTAATCCACATTGATTAACCTCATCAGTTTATCTATCTGTAGAAAGTTGAATTTGTAAAACAGCCTTTTTCTTTTCACAAAATAATTCCAAATGGGTCTAAGTTTTGTTCAAATAGCTTGTCAGATTATGAGTACTTTATAACCAGAAATTAGATACACCTCTCACAGTGAGTTTGAAATGAAGCTAATACCCCAAATTGAGAATGGCGGGGCCTATTCATGTCTACCTTGATTCAACATTTTAATTGAAACAGATCATGGACTTAAAGGCATTTTATAGCCTTGTGGAAGGAAGCTGGGTGACAACTGGAACACACACAAACTCACAATTGAAGGCCCCTTGTTTTACAACTTGGGCACTCCATGCACCTGAGGCAACAATTTATCCTGAGTACCACCCAGAAATTTTAAGTTGCAATAACAAAGGATGACACCATAAAGCATTGTCTTTCTTTGTGGAGGAGATTAATTGCATGCTGAACTACTGTCGCCAATAAACACAGAAATAAATAAAAACCTAAAAGAAATGAACACACACAGAATGCTGAAAAAGGACTATTGTGGTAGTTCAAGACCTCAGTGATCCAATTATCAAATATTTAGAGCCACCCATTGTGGCTTTTTATTATTTATGTCTAGTTCTTTTGTATTTCTCCTCCCCAGGGAGGAAGAAAGGATAAAAAGGGAGGAAGACGGTCTTCTCTCCCAGGTGCAGGAAAACAGGTCTGTGGGTGTCTTCCACAGCCACCCACCCATATGGTTCTTCTTAGGTGATGGAAACAGATCAGTTTCCATGAGAGTGTGCTCATCCACACGCTAGCATCATTTTAAACATGAACCTAGTGAATACGTGGAGACACAGCGCATGTCACCCAGAGGCACAGTCTCTGGGGGTCTTGGGGTTCAGCGCTGGGCCCAGGTCTGTAAGCTGCGAATCGGTCCTGCCCGCCCCCGGGCTCCCCTGAGGCCGCACTCTGCACTCTCAGCACTGGGCTGGTCGCCCACCTCTGTAAGGGTGGCAGGCACCCGAGGGCCGGAATCGGTGGGCACAAGAGTTACACACATCACCTCTCCTACCCACCGCCCCTTCCTGAACTCCAAAAGCCCCTCTGGCCCTTTTCCCGCAGCGTGGGAGGGGAGGTGGGTAAGGTGCGTCTCTTCTAGCCCGGGTGTCCCGCTCCCCTAGGCGTGCGTGCCGGCTCCAGAGCGTGTCTGCGGGGCGCGAGCGTGCGCCCTTCCCTGCGGCTGCTCCCGCGAGCGGGCGGCAGCGGCTTCCGCGCGCGCGCCTCGAGCCCCCTCCCCTCGGCGCTGTCACTCTCCGCACGGGCCCTTCCATCACCAGCTCTGCCTCCGCTGGCGAGTCAGTAGCCACCACCAGGCTGATGAGCGGAAGCCAAGGTGGCGACCCTTTCAGGCGTGAAAATGGGGGCCCCGGCGACCCCCTCCGTGAGACTTCCCCTCGGAGCCGTTCCTCGGCCGGGGCCCGCCGCGGCCAGCCCCCCCTCCCCGCCCCGCGGGGCTGGCCTCGGGGGCGGGGGCCCGGGCGTGCGAGCGAGCGTGGAGGCGCGGGACCCGCGCTCCCGCGCCCAGGCAGCGCAGCCCACCCGGCCCCACGGCCCCGGCGCGCGGCCCGCCCCTCCCGCCCGGCGCTCGGGGCTCGCTCCTCCGTCCGCCGCGCGGGGCGTCCCGCGTCCCCGTGTCCCCGCGCCGCCCGGGGCGCACGGCGCGCGAGGGCGAGGGCGAGGTGGCGTCGGCGGCCGCCGCGCTGGCTGCACTCACCATAGCCGGCCGTCAACCCCTGCTCGGAGCGCGGGTGCCGATGGCGCGGACGCTGGGTTTGGATTTCACATCAATTCCTTTTTTTCCTGGCCCCCCTTTCCTCGTCCTCCGCTCCTCCGTCTTCTCCCCGTCTTCCCTCTTCTCCCCCTTGCCTTGTCGCTGCGGGTCTCTTTGTCTCCCCTGTCGTCTTTTTCTTCTCCTCCGTTTTCTTCTTCTTCTCCTCCTCCTCCGTCTTTACAAAAGGAACGGAAAGTGTAAAAACCCCGGCGCGCTGGGCCGCCGGAGGCTTTCGGCGGAGTGCAGCGCGGACTCACAATTACAAGCCTGTTTCTATTAAGCAGTTCCATGGCCCTCGGCGTGGGTGGTCTGCCGCGCCATAGGCAGGACCTGTCAGGGTCACGTGACGGATCCGAAAACTTTACCCCTTTACAATAAACTCAAGGAAAGCAAAGTAAACTCGAGGAACGTGCTATCAGCACAGCCCTCCTGGGTAAACAGGCGCTCCCCTCCCCGCCTTCCTGGGAGGCGCCCGGCCCGGCGAGCTCCCGCGAGCCTCGCCGCCCCCTCCCCGCCCCCCGCGGCCCTGTCTGCGGGGGGCCGCCGGGCGGGGGGTCTCCGCGCGCTCCCGCGGCTTCTCCACCTTGTGCTCGGCTCCCCCGCCCCCGCACACATTATTTGCTAACGTTTGGCCGTCTTGCCAGAACGCCGGTGGGGGGAGGTGTGGGGAAGCAAGGAAGCTCCTTTTAGCATCCCCGGCGCTCCGGGAAGTGGGGGGTGCCCAGAGGGCTGCGGAAGAACACCACCATTCTCAAAGCTTTCCTGCTCCCATTCCCACGGAAGCGCGGAAAAGCTGGGAGCCTTCTAGATGACAGGCCCACAGGCCGCCAGGGAGGCGGAGAGCAGGAGGGCTGGACAGATCACAGCGCCTGCCCGGGGAAATTTCAGCGCGAGCTGTGTGCGCATTCCTGTCGGTCCTGGGAAGCCGCTTCTTGTGAAAGAGACCAAGGTGGCGTCCCTTGGAAACCAAGATGGGTAGCTGCTCCGAAGAATCACGGATTGACATTTGCTCCCTTTCCCTTCCGATTCCTGTGGTTTCTGGGCTATGCCGCCCGAATGCTCCCACCCACTATGCCTTCCTGTGCCAGGCGGCCTTGGGTGACTGGCCTAGACCTAGGAGCTGGTGGGTCTCGCGGAGAACCCTGCTCTCACCCAAGACTGAAACGTCCTATTCGGGAGCGCCCCCGCTACAATGTCTGACATTTTATCTGCTCAACCCCGCCGCTGGTAGACGGTATTTCACACACCGCCTCTTTAAATGGGCCACATTATGAATCAAGATGAATTACAGATACAAGGGCAGGGTGGAGGGAGTGAGAACGTTTACTGCAACTCAGAAGAGCTAACTAGCTGGTCTTGAAATAAAGCCAGACTCTTCTCACTTCATTCTGGGCTGACAGTGTGATTAGGTGTGTGTGTGGCGGGGGCGGGGGGGTCGGTAAAAGAGGTGCCCCGTGTGTTATTAAATAATAATCATCATCCTAGGGGTTTCAGGATCTCCTCCCACTACGATGACATAGCCATTCTTGAGCAGAGTCATTTGAGTTTCCAGAATGTATGTGTTTGAGACACAGTAAGTAATTAAGCATTCGAATGGGGGCAGCCCTGTGAATTTGGCTGGTCCAGAAGGTCATTTCATGCCAGTGACTTCAGTCAAAAATGGACTCAAATGCATATTGGCTGACCATGGATTCTAAGAGTCACGATAGTTGTAACAACAACAACAAAACAAAACCCAACATTTCCCTTCAAAACACTTCTCCCTGTCTTTTGTGTCATATCAAAGGGCCCCGTTTCTCTATCAATGTGGGTGGAGTTACGAACAGGAAAGGATACATAATCTCCAAATAGAGGGGTCTAGAATATGAAGGAGAAAGGGGGATAAGAAAAAAGAGAAACAGCTGATAAAGGGCATTTAAATGGCCCACAATGCAGAGTTGTAGGAAAATTCCAGCAGAACTTGGGGAGTTTGCTTTTCCTAGTTAAAATGAAGACCCTCGCGGAAGCACGCCTAGCTGCGTGCTCCTGTTGAGTGGTGGCCAAGGCTGATACTCAAGAGTGGACATTAGTTTTGTGTGGCCTGGGACTTAGGCAGCTTTCAGAGTGAAGGGGGAGTGGGGAGCTTCTTTAGCAACTCAAAATTACAAACACAAAATTAAGTACAGGGCCTTGGAAGTGGCCTGGGCAGGGAGGAGCCCTAAAGCTACCTGGGCTTCCAGCAAATCGCCTCTCTTGAGTGTGCAGACGGGTGGACTTCGGAGCTACCCAGTCTTTGTGGTCCTGCTGGTCTACGCTGTCCCTTAGTTAGGACTGAATGTGTTCATATGAGTCATATCTCATCCAAGGCTTTACAGTTGGGAGCAAAGACAAGTTTGTTTTGCACGAGAGTGTAAGTACCTAGAGTTGGGCAGGAGTGGCATAATGAGGCAGGGAGCAGAAAATCTGGTGTGAAAACGTACAAGTTCAGGAAGGAGGGAAGCCCCTGGAAATGTTCTCTCCTGTAGAAAGCAAAAAATTCCTCTTCAAAGTTTCTCTTTTTGTTAAAGAATACATCATAAATGTTAAAAAATAATAGTTTCTTTTAAAAACTAACTTCCATCAAGCCTCCTTGCTTTGTGCTAATAACTCTTTGTTAAGCCTTATCGTACGTAGCTGTTAAACATGCTCACAGGCACGTACTACATTCTATGTCCTTGTACCTTAACCAAGATATTTATGCTGGACATGCTCACAGGCACGTACGTTCCAGCTCACAGCCTATGCCCCTTCCCTATTTGGCACAAGCAACTTCCTCTTTTCCTTTGTCTTTCCATTACTTTTACCTATTTAGAAAAGTTTTAAACTGTTAGCCAGTCAGGTTTTAGTTTCGATTGTGAGGTCTGGCTCCAGCCATCGGAGACAGGACACAGTCGCAGGGACAAACTGTGTAAGGGATAAAAATTGCTTCCCTCCTTTGTTCAGGTGTGCTCTCCACATTGTTTCATCTGTGATGAGCA